TCGAGGTTTGTTGAGGAGGCCTGTCCTGCAGCAGCATGGCAGAAGGCGGGAGAGGTTGCTGTGGAGTCTCTCCTGGAGTGGCCTTGGGTACATATTCGAGGACAGTATTGGGAGGAAGAGGTAGAGCTTGTCGGCAAGGTGGAGGAGATCTTTCGGCAAGAGGATGGCAGGAGCATCTGGTTGAAGGCCAGTGGAACGCCCAACGAATCCCTGCTCAAGTACCTGTCCGGGGTGGCTTCAAAGAGGGTGAAGATACACCTTTGCAAGAGTTCTGCACCGCGTTGGTGTGGGACGAGGGTTACATCCATGGCCGAGAACTTCAAGAAGTGAGGAGAGAGGCCATTGGGTGGAGCCAGAACCTCGAGACCGTGGTCGAGAAAGAGGAAGTGGACGAGCTTCGACATCTACGAGAAGGAGCCGAGAGAGTCAGAGACAGAGGGAAAGGAGTAGGAGCAAAGGTGGTGAAAGAGAAGGCAAAGGACAAGTCTCCTGGTACATCGGGAGACAAAAGCGAGAAGAGAAAGAAAAAGAAGAGGAAGAGAGAGGAAGCCCGCATCCAAGGAAAGAAACCCCTGGCGAGCCTGTTTGCCACTACGGGACTAGATCCCAAAGTGGAGGTCCGCAGAAAGGTGAAGAGACGAGCTCAGAAGGTGACAAGGAAGAGCCGCAGCAAGAGAAAGGACAGCCACTCAACAGCCAGTTCATCGTCTTCGAGCATGAGCGACGAAAGCGAGGCCCTGGGGGACAGAGATCTCTTCGAGCCGGCCACACCCACACAGAGAGTGTGGCGCCGCTGCCCAGGTGCCCTCACCATGTCGATGATTGCAGAAGCGAAGGAGGCCCTGTTGACGCAGCTGGGGGTGGCAGGAGATCCAGTCGACGGAGCAGTTCCGGCCATAGCCACCCAGTATGTGAGACAGGTCCTGATGCCCACAATGAGTGGGCCGGTGGCCCGGGAGTCGCACCACTGGGGACTCCTGCTGGATCTGCTTTTGACGGCTGCAGCGGCAGACTTGGGGCACCCAATGCCTCAAGCCCTTGGAGGGGCACTCCAGGGGAATGAAACCGGAGTTGCTACGCCAGCTGGAGCTGGTGGCTCAGGAAAGGCCCTCTCTGAGCAGCACTTCGGAGCTCAGAACAGCGGGCAAGCAGGCAAACGAAGAGCAGAAGGTGCTGCAGAAGTCGACGTTCAAGGAGGTGCCGGACAAGTCCAAGGGCTATGGCAAGGATTGGAAGCAAGACAAGGGCGAGAAGGGTGGCAAGTACGAGAAAGGCAAGAAAGGCAAGGGCGAAGGCAAAAAGAAGTGACTTCGAGGGGTCGTGATGGCTTTCAGGCAGAGCAAAAGTACAGTGGCAGGAGAGATGGTCCTATGGCAGTGGTACGGAGGCGCCTTGTGGCGAGGTGCCTCCTGGTGAGGAGACTATGATGGATACAGCAATGGGCGCTCCGATGATGGCATGGACTCCTGGTGGCAGGGAGTCGACAGATGAGATGGGGAGCAGGGTTTTTGAAGGAGCTTGCACTGGAGAGGCCAATGGTGCAGGCGAGTTTCACGAATACAATGGTGCATGGATTCTCCGAGATCCTCAGCTGACCCCGCCGGCGGGAGTAACGCCTGCCGCAGACTTAGATGAGAAGGATCCCAAGCATGGTCAGAGGACGGTGCATGAGGTCTACAAAGCTGCTTTGGGCGTCTTACAGAAGGATGACGTGATGCGCTCCACCATGGGTATGCGGAAGGATGTGGCCGACGAGCTCATGCCGCTGCCCGTGCCCCTGGCAGACACGATGCTGGCCGCCTTGGTGACTGGCATCAACCACTTGGGAGGTTGGAAGAACCCGCCTCCTGGTCCAGCCAAAGGCTCCGACCTCAGAGACCGCGCGGTGAAAAATTTGAGCGCCTTGCTGCATCGACATGGCATGTGGAGGGTTGCAGAAAGTGAGTTAAAACGACACGCCATCATGTTTCTTGACCGCAGTGTTTCGGCCTCAGCTCCCGCCCACCCAGCCCGGCTGGACGACTGTTTAAATTTTTTCCTTTTAAAAGGACACCTGTCTAAGGCTCTCGGTTTGGCGAGAGGCCTTAGGGGGTGAGAGGAGTGAAGGTTCAGTTCGGCTAGGCGGACTGTTCGCTTCACTGAGCCTCAAGAAAGAGAACAAAGAGTCAGAGTCAGACTCAAGTCAAGTTAGTGTAATACTTGACCCTATCGTATTTCTTTATTTATGTTTATGACTAAACTGGGGAGCGCGTCAGAAAACAGCAGGCGTGAGTTTTTATATATATGTTTATATAACTATACTTCAAGAGTAAGAAAGTTTGGTAACAACTTCACTCGAGAATCTCGCTGACATGACTTCTCTTTCCCAATCATATTCCGGCGGATTATTTTCCACCCCGAACTAAATCAGGTTTACTTCCGGGTGAGATATCCCGCCAGAATTTCACTGTGATCATCGAAAGGGTTGTACGTAATACCAACTTTTGTCCTGCCTCTCTCTCTCTTTATATATATACATACATATATTTGCGTATATAGTAATCTACCAGATGTAGTTGAGCAGCTGCCAGCAGGAACCTGTGGTTTCGGCAGTTTCCGGCGGTCCGGCAGAGGTTAGATCCGACAGATCCAACTCATGTTGGGGGTCATGGGGACTCCCTTCTGGGCTTGTTGTACATAATTGTGCATGCACACGTGCAGGGCAAAGGTGCTTGATACACTTCCAGGATGAAAACGGAAGAAAAGGTCATGACTGGGTTTTCAGGTTTGTGTTTTTTGCCCTGGTGATGAACAAACAGCTGAGGGAACACTAACCGTATTGATGGAGTCCTAGAGCAGGAGCTCGTAACAGATTTTGGAGGCCAAGTTGGATCCAGAGGATGTCAAAGTGATGAGGCGATTGCCACAAAAGCTGGGTTGATAGAGTGCTCGAGGTTCATGGGGCTTGCGCTGAACAGGAATCCCAGCAAACTTCAGGGTTTGAGGTATGCGCCTTTGCTGGTGAGCTGCGGCCACAAATCACCGGGCAAGAAATCACTGCGACCACATTAGTTTTTACTCAGCCAAATATCCTTTGGTATCCATAGCTGTGGGCTTACCCCCTATTTCTTTTGGCTGATAGTGTCCATGTGTATTTCCCTGCTTCTAATAATGTGGACCCTGAAATAATAAACTTCCTCAGAATAAAGCATAACAATTCCAAGAATCGACTAAGAATGACAAACTACCCCAACGTGCCCAACGTAACGCAAAACATGTTCCAGAAAAAGGCCATATACATACATTGCTATGTATTGCTTTGTGCTTCCTAATTTAAGTTGTTTGTCCCATTGATCATCCACCTAGTTTCCGAATGCCTCATTACCACTGCTGTCCCGGTGATTTGTAGTTCTTCCAATCCAAGCCTTTTAGGTCAACCTACATAGGTACCCCTGATGAACCTACCAAGAAACCTTAACAATTCTTGAGCCTAGTCAACCAAGTTCTCTACAATAAATGTATTGATTTTGGTTTTATTTGTTCTCAAAGGCTGCTTCTTTCCTTATTCAGTCCAATGCTCATTCCAGAAAGCTTCTTAATTCATTGGTTCCTTTAGATCCAACATTGATCCCAGGAGTCCTCCCCAATAATATCCAATAGTAAGGTACAAGTCTGAGCTAATCTAAACTTAACGAACATGTCAGTCTTTGCAGATCAACCCGAGGCTCTTTTCTAGGGACTGCGCGTTGGTTAGCTTTGCGGCCGTTTGAAGACGCGCAAGATGAAGTTTTGCTGGAGCTGGATGGCTCTTGAAATCCTTTGCGATACACATTGGGAGTTGTGGCAACAAAGTAGGAAGATTCAACAGTCTAGACTACTCCAAGGGCACGAGGAAGGATCCATACGACAAATTGGGAATCTCATGTTTGCAAGTTATGCAAATCAAATGAACAAACCGGCATGTGCTTGATCGGCCCGTTGTTTGCATATCATGCTGATGCGAAGATAGTCAACCTGACAAAGTGTGGACCAAAGGTAAGATAGACGATGGTAGACGTCTACTGGTACTACCAATGATATATAGTACTTCATTGAATCACAGCACTTTGAGCCTTGGCCCAATGCATCCTTACATGTGTTTATTCTGTGGGTCGAACAATGCTGTACTATAACACAAGTCTTGGATGTCCACTTTGGCAAAACAATCCTTTTGATTCCTGGGCTTGGCTGTTCGTGAGAATCTCACAGCTTCACAGAGCTTCATTTAACAAGTTATATACTTGATGATGATGTTTCATCAATAATCATTTCGAGGGCGTTGGAGTGTGAAGTACATATGGTGTACCAGAACCGTATGCCAGGCATGATTTTGTTAGCAGCCTTGTCACATTGAACGGAACGAAGACGTTCGAAATGTTCAACTGGACAGGTTCAACTGGACAGGAAAATAGCTCTACCATTTGAGGTATCTTTGCACTAATGTAGATCAGCAAGTTCTTTTGCACGTGTTCGAGAATCGCGACCCGGAGATCAGTCTGTGTAAAATTCAAACATTGTGGAGCTGGGCTGTCCTCACGACTTCCGAGATCTTGGATCGTGTGGAGGCAAGCCTTCCTGTAGTGCCTGAAGGGACTCCATCGGCCCGAAGGGGGCGGTGATGTTGTTCTGCACGAAAAGATGTCTTTGTTGGACGAGCGATGTTTTGGCCAGAGAGACCAATCCATGTGGATTTGCTTTGATTGTTATGTTCAACCTGCTAGGGATGGCCTCCAACCTACTAGCGATTCGTTTGATATATATATATATATATATGTTCTCGTTTACAAGCAAGTTGTCTTGTTTGTTTGCCTTCCAAGCTTCAGTTCGTGCCTGTCAAGTACCAAAGTTGGTTGGCTCCCGCTGAGGGAGAGCTCATGCTCCAGCAAAGACCAACTTTGAGAATGTAACATTATTGACAACATTTCACAACCAAATGTGCACGCCTTAGCTGGTGCTGGTTCTGACTAACCATGATGCGCCAGGCACAGAGCTTTGGGTTTTTCTGTGGACTTCCAGTACTTCCTTCGCAGGAGTCGGAATACAAGGCTTGGAAATTTGCGGCTTGACCGTTTGCATCCTTCATTGTCTTTCGACTGCTTCTCCAGTTGCTCGGGTCAATTGTTTGTAAAGAAAGCCTGCTGCAAAGAACTGGAGTCCAAGCGCCAGGGGTTCCATGTTCGTGTCCGGCCAGACTGGATGCTGCCAGGTCATTCACCTTGCTCCATGTTCAGCTGCCAGGTCATGTGACTGATTCAGAGTTTGTGCTGTCGCAGTTTCTGCTGGTCACTGACCCAAGCTGCTTGATGCGCGGCAGTAGAAGCAAGTGCTTTGGCTCGTGAAGACAGGCTGCAACATCCTTATACACTGGCCAGATGAAAGTTGCGCTTGTTGATGTTGAAGCTCTTGACAGCCCTATCCCCCTTGAATCCTACACGATGAGACAAGGGAAGGTGTGGGCGATCATTTGTGAGCTGTTTTTGACTATTCAAAACGGCGTGATAATTGACCGTCCCACACCTGCCACGAAAATCAGACTTGTTAAGTCGATTCGCCGCTGACCTCAGAGTGTTTTTGTAAGACGGCTGACAAGCATAAACTTTTGTTTGCCTGAAGTATACCTGTTCCGAAGACATAGACTTAGACACCTACAAGCCTTGAGGGAGGAGAGACAAGCCTAAAGTTTCTATTCATGAGGAACTCCGAAGTAGAAAAGGTCAGAAGCGACAGTCAAACGGGTGCGCGTCGACATTGAACTCACCAGGCCTTTTGGCTCAAGGAGTATCGCCAGGTGAGTTCTATCATGTGTCAGCCCTGTGCTGCGCAAACTGTGCAGCACAGGGTTAATTCATGTTCATTCTGTCAGAATTGTGGCACCTGACACATGTGAGACATGCCATGGATGATAGGCAAGTATTCTTATTTGGTATTTTTTGCCCACACTAATGTAATGTCAACTTGAGCCCCAAAACCACTTGGATTCAACGTGATGCCGCGGAGCTTGTGGCCTCAGCCAGCCTTGGAAGCTGGTTTGCAATGATTCCACTCGTTACCAAAAGAACGGTGAAATTGCATAGGAGATCCATGGAGATGCAAAAGGTTTTTTTGTCACTGGGTTTTGAGGGGAGACACGTTTGTTGTCGAAATTTGTTGAGGCACACTTGTTACCAAGATGCAAACGAGCACAGGATGAGCCAAATTGTTTCAATAATTCTTTTGTTCGGTGCTAGAACCAAGATGCCATGTGCATCCTGCACCACAGGTTCAAGTGGAACCATATTGGTTGAGTTTGTGGCCAAAAAAACACAACATCGACAATTAAAGGAGCATCAGCATCAGTGCGATTATGACAGTCCTGTTGTTCTTTTAAATGGAACAATAATTGACATATTAGTGTTCCAGCCACCCCCCTGATTCACCGTGATATCCTCACCAGATCACCAGATGTTGACATCAACACACACATACACGAGGAGCTGGTTCTACAGCCAACAATCGTTGAACATCCATTTTTTAGATGCAGAGAAGGACATTGGATGCAGAGAAACACCGGTCTAGTTAGTTTTTTTTGGGCTTGAAGATACCTCCAGCTGAAGTAGACCTCAAAGTAAGAACAAGAAACAACTGGTGGTGAGGACAGCCCCAGAAGTGATATTCAAGCCGGTTGAAATGGTTTGCTTTGAGCATCTTTTAGCCTCTTCACTCTTCCGCTGGTTTGCTGAGGGCTTCTTTGCACTCAGACATTCCTGTAAGCGTTGCTAGGATCCTTTGGCCTTGCGCAGCGCTTTCCGCGATTGGGGAGTCACTTGGCCAAGAAATAAAGGAAACTCAACTTGCATCAATCACAATACTTTTATACTATACCTCATTTTATGCCATAGAACTGTAATGCACTTTTTGTACTCTTTCCACCAGACAGTTGCACTCGACAAACATCTCTAGGTGAAAGATGTTCACCTCTCGACCGCTCCTTGGCGCTATGCGAAGCTCTTCTTCGTCAATGCGAAGCTCTTCCCTTCGAACATGTTTTCGCTCTCCATGTTCGAACTGTTAATCTTTAGGCCTTAGATATCTTTAGATCCTTGTTTTCCTTTTTCTGTGTTCCTTTGCTTTCTCATTGCTGTCTTTAAGATTCAATGAAAGGTGAACTGGGAACACAAGCCTAGTTGAGCAGTGTCGTATAAAGTGCTGCTGCCTTGACTTTCACATGTTGGTTGCGCCCAAGCGTGCCACTCGACCCCGTGCAGCTGCAGCGAGTACAGAGTGTGCTCAATACGTTGGTCCAGCATCATTTGAGTCACCTGGATAACGCAATCTGAGCCCTGGATTACTGTTGTTCATCCCATCCCGCAAGACGCAGGAACTGAAGGTTCTCCGTGGGACTAACGAGGTAGACACTGCACATTGACATGTGGGCCTTCAGAGCTACAGTATGTTTGCATATATATTACAAAATAGTATACATAATTGAATGCCAAATGATGCCAACATTACATAAACTTGGCACGTAGACATTGGTGCGTCAACCAAATCCGGCATGGCGAACACCTCTGAAAGCTTCGAGCAGCTCTTGGACAGCTCCTTGCACCGTGGATTCAACCTAATAGCGATGGCCTCCAACCTACTAGCGATGGCCTCTAACCTACCAGCGATGGCCTCCAGCCTAGAACCGATGGCCTCCGGCCTCCACCCTAGAAGCGATGGGCCTCCTTCCTAGAAGCGATGGCCTCCAACCTAATAGCGATGGCCTCCAACGTTTATGAGATAGACGTGGGCCAAACCTGGCCTTCAAAACCATTCAAGGCCCACTCTTCAGCTTTACTTTGTTTGTTGCTCAGCACAGACCCTTTTGCTGCTGCAATTGAAGAACGGATGACAATTTGTTTTACAGTATTGGTCCGCTTATGCTGGTATGCTACAACAATTGATCGACTGCAGATGAGAAAGACGGGGTTTCTCAATTTGCCACATTATACTTGGTTGCTTTTGGACCTCCAGGCAGCAAATAGCATTTGGCACGTTTCGTATGACCAACCGGCCTGTTTGGCGCATCACCAGCCTGGGCTGGGATGACATACCTTTGGTATACAGTTGAAGAGGTCTCTTTAGAGGTCTGGAATCCACGCAGCAAAGGCAAAGTTTCCGGAAGATTCTCTTGGAGGCCCATTTCCAGGACAGCTTGATACGGCCGCCTGTCTGGCACTGACGGGCATGCCGTTGTCCAAAATGTTATTCGGGTTTGATTCTGGTTTTCCGATTCGTTCGTTGCTCGAAACGTTGATTTGAAGGTGTTTGCCTAGGACCAAGCAGTTCTCAGACACGTGCCATTGGTTTGCATTACCAGCTTTGCATAGCTTTGCCTTCGTGTAGCCGTCCAAGATTCCAGTCACTCCCTTACAAACACGGAAAAGCCTGAGTGGAAATTGAGGCAGACTTGGGTCCCTTGAATCATGCCCCCTTTAAACGAACCTTTTAGGAGCAAGGACGCTTACTACTAGGAGCAAGGACGCTACTAGGAACAAAGGGCCCAAAGACCGTTTTGCTCTTTGTTTCTAAGGTCCCAGGCACTCAGAGTGTCATTGGGTGGAGCTGGAGATTACATTCAGTCAGATCCTAAGACTTCTTAGAGGGCTGTCAGACTGCTTAAAGAGACTATTTGACTTGCATTCAGTGGTGTCAGAGGATCCACTCAAAGCAATAGGTCGCGGATTGACATCGTAATTTATCATGTGTCAGACCACACTTCTAGTCCAGACAGTAGTCATTATGAAAGGACATTGCAGCTAGGGTTGCTCCTTTTTTTAAGTAATTTCTATTTGTCAGGGAATGCAGTGGCATCAAGCTGCCGCACCATCACACTATGATTTCATTCGCTATCCACTTGCACCCAGACGCAACGCAATCCTTTGAATGCCTTATGGGGATAAAATTCAGAAACGCAAGGAAAAGACCCTGATGCTGAGACCCCTCACGCCCCACGCTTCCAACAAAATTGCTGGCTTGATCTCACTTTCGTTTGTTGCCCCCCTCAGTGAGAGAGCTCCTTTTCGGGGCAAGTTGTTGATTGAATTCGAGTGGGGGTCAGGTGGGGACGGATATATAGTTGGACAATGTTGGAAAGTATGTATTTTGTGTTGGTTGACCAAGAAAGGTGTGGCCATTGCACTGCTGACACCCCACTCTCTTGTGTGCACTCTTGGAAAAGTTCTCCGGCCAGAGTTCACAGCTGTGGAAACCGTGAAAACAACATTTGCGAGATCCGGAAGAAACTGCCAAGGTTTCCAAGTTTAAAAAGGCATCAAAAACATTACATGATCAACGCTGTATCGACACACCTTGCTCAAGGAAGCAATTCAAAGCAGGAGATGAAATGGAAAGCACCAACAACAGCCAACGATATGTGTATTTTACCATCGCAGCTCACATGTCGGCGTTCACCAGTGTCACGATCACCTGACAACTGTGTCAAACGTGTGTTTTCTCACCCCACTCTTCTTAGGCCTGAAGGCTCAACCAGCTTGGGCGCATTTTCGGCTTCGCGGGTGCGTCATGTTGCTCAGTGGACCGGAGTTGTGTTGATATGAAACGCGGTTCGATCATATTAGATACAGTATATATATATATATACATGATATGTTCATGAATCATTGAGTTGTTTAGCTTCTTTTTGGAAGCTATTGGCTGGAATAAGCTCTTGACCTCATCAAGATACTAAAATTGACCAGGGACCATCTTGAACTCGCTGCAGCTCGTTAGAAGCCACCATCCATGCAGTTGTTGCGTGCATTGTTGCAGAAGGAAACATGTTAAAGTCATACAGACTGATCTGACTACCTACATCTTTAGCTAAAGAGTATCAACAGGCGACGAACTTGATCAACCAGACATGTGTGTCCAACTTCTGTTGCCAGCATGAGACCGACATATCCAAATCCACATCTTCTGGAGCGTCCCAAGAGCACCATTCGCTAAATCAAGATCAGTTTTTCTTTATATGCCCCATCATGTCCCCACCCCAAAGCATCCCAAAGCGACAGAGCACATTAAGGTCCGGAGTTTTCCAATAGCTCTGACGACGCTGTGAGTGGCCCTGAAGAAGGCTCAAGTCAAACCTTCTTGTTTCTTGGCTCTTCAGATCAGATCTGGAGATGGAGTGCGGAAGAACCGGACGGGACGGGCTTTGGACAGTTCCAATCATCGTATCAGCCACAAAAGCGGCTGTTTCCAGCACCAAAAGACGAAATAACACGAGCCAACCGGTTCTTATATAGCGATCAGGGTTTCTTAGAGTCGAGCTCCGTTTGTAAGTGTATTTTCCTAGTTCTAAAGCATGAAAACCACTGGAAGGAAGGGAAATGAAGGGAACATATGTAATCAAGGGACAAAAAGAAAAGGCATCGGAAGCAACACAAAGTCGAAAGAAGGACAGCAGAAAAAAGAAAACACCTAGAAATAGGCAAGGGAAAGAGCTCCGCTAGTCGCAGTTGCCTTTTATACTGAGGTAAGGTGGAATGTTCAGAAACACCCAATTTCGAACGTTTGGTTTGGATTAACTTTATGAGTTTCTTGAGAACATGCATGCTCTCGTATACAGTATATACCAATACATGACAGCTGGATTTGTTCATGCGCCGTTGCCATAGGCCATAGGCCTTCGCCTACTGTCATACCAAGAAGCCGGCGCAGCAGTTGTGTTTCCCAACATTTCCCAACTATCAAAATATCCAGACACTTTCCATTTCTTGCAGAAGAGATTCTGGATAGAGCCGCTGCTATTTCCTCAGGCCCTCTGCTCTTCAAGGCCTCACTGACGAGGAGGCGAGCTTCCACGATCCCGGGTTGTGGATGAAGTGACTATCTAAAGGCTTACAGCGTCCTAGTAGCGTTCTTGCTCCAGCAGCCCCTAGTAGCGATCTTGCTCCTAGTAGCGATGCCCTTTGCTCCTAGTAGCGTCCTCTTGTTCCCAAAGGCTTACAGTATACACTTGACAGCCGGGCGCCGCCCAGCTGGAGGACAAGGAAGAGAGAGAGAGAGAGTCAGAGAGGAAGAAGGGTGGTAGGTGTAGGTGTAGGTGGGTAGGTCGGTAGGTGGGTGGGTCGGTCGGTCGGTCGTGTGGGAGAATTTGTCGGTGGCGGTTGTGGTTGATGTTGTGGTTGTTGTGATTGTCGTCGTCGTCCTCGTTGATGTTGATGTTGCGATTGCCGTTGTTGCCGTTGTCGATGCCGTTGCCGTTGCGGTTGGTGTTGTTGTTGTTGCTGCTACTGTTGGTGATGATGTTGTCGAACAATCTTCCTAGACCTGGGTCGGCGGATTTACTGCAGGGTCCTCCAAAGTTTGCAGAGTTCAGCATCTCAACATTGTCGGCCTAATATGTATATAAACAAAACATAACAAAACGCTAGCCGTGAAAACTCACCTTTGTGGCCCAACCAACCACGCTTCACAGACGGTCGAGAAATTCGGTTCGGCCCGAGAGGCCACGGTTCACAGTTCGAGCAATCCCTTGTCGACTCGAGGCCAGTACAGTGAAAAACCGACTGCGTCTACGCCTGGGCATTTTGCCCAGCACCAAGATGGCGTGGGCCCCATGGGCACCCGGCCGTTGATCTCAGTCGACGGCACAAAAATGGGGTAGGCGGTACAGTAGGGTATGCAGTATTGAGAATGCACATATGCATGTGTTTTCAGACACATGGATCACATGGCTTGGTGAAAAAGATAAAATCCTTTTGGAAGTTGTTAATTTGGGTTTCAACAGGAGTCATCAATCGTTCAATCAATCTATTGAAATTATAAGCCATCTCAGTATTGATTCTCTGGGAGGTCAGGGACTACAAAGTGACCTCTCTTCGATCTATGTTGTTAATTGCATCACTTGTCACTTGTTGCTCTTTCTTCGGGGGTTGTTTACTAGTTCGGTGTTGCTTGTACAAAGGCCTAGAGCCATGGACGTCGTTTGTACATTGGTGTCCTGTCAGCAGCTACCTATAAGAAGTTGGCGAGACACGGATTCAACTTTTCACAGGTGTCTGGACAGACCTTGCACGAAGCGGTGGCTGCGCTCGGGCTCACACGTGCTTTGGCTGACTCTCCCAGCTACCAAAAGCCGGCATTTGTACATATCATGGGTTGCTGATGTTTCTGAGCAAGCAAACAGGTTTTGTGTCAGAGCTTTGATTCCATCGATGAGTAGCCTAGCAGCTTCCTGCCCTCACTTTAACAAAGCGTTTTTTTCCTCGTAACTTGTAACTGTGAAGATGTGTCATCGAAGGTGAATGAACAGCTGCTCAAAGCTGTTCGCTGCTATGACTAGGCTAGACGCACCTTTCCCGTCGCGACTGCCTTCGGAATTGTTCTTCCCAACTAACATGATTTTGCATTGATTTTACAATGATTTTACCATGTCTCAGCGTTCATGTTCAAATGTCAAACGATTTCTTTATAGTTTGTGGAAGGGCAAGTATGGGCTTTCAAACCTTCTTCTCTCCAGACTATATGCCCTTTTTGCTGAGTGCCAATAACAGTCCAGGAACTTGGGGCAGTCCCAGGCTCCAGATCAAAGAGCACTCAAACACCTCAGATGACATCTAGTTCACTGTGCCTTAATACACTTGTTTCGGCCAGCGAAAGCTCCCTAAGCGAGAACAGTGCTCCGCAAGGCAAGCTTCAGCACTTGGTTTGTTTGTTTCAGGTTATGAAGAGGAGGACATGAATGACTTGGTGAACCACCTAGCCGATTTCATTGGCCTCAAGTTTGAAGACAAGGGCAGGAAGAAGGAGAAACGAGTGCCCCTCGCCAAGAGATGACACAACTTGACACAACGGACTTGCCATAGTTGTAAGTACATGTATGTTTTCCATTCAGCGCTTGGGGAGAATGGTGAACTTCAAGCGCTGCAGTCCTTGCTTTTGTCAGTCCGTACTACATACAATACGTCACATGTTAAAGAGGCAGAAGGTGAACTGCGTACACTTCCACCACGCTGGTCTCGGATTCCAGCAGTATCACCACAGAATTGTGGGTGTGTTCACTCAGGATGTACATATCAGATGGCGGCACGCTGCATTCAACCCATGCTCGACCCACGGTGGGTTCTACAAGACAAATATACAACAAAGCAAATGGCTCTTGCGCGCGCGCGTTCTCTCTCTCTCCCTCTCTCTCTCTCTTTGTCTCTCTTGTACAGGGAAATTAGAGAGGAAAAGAAGGTAAGGACCCCTTGAAGAAGGCTCCTTGAGAGTGGCGTCCATATTGAAGCAGCTCAAACACCTCACGTTCTGGTGAGTAATGAGCTGACATCATTGCTTCAACAGGTCTAGACGTTTTGTTTCAGGTTATATAAGGTTTGGGATTAGAGCGTTTGGAATTGCAAGCAGCGACCTCCATGTGCAATCGAGGACCATGATGGGCAACCTTTTTGGCGCAGCGGCTATCGAGGCTAAGGTGACTCACGGCTCGGCCAGCTGGGAGTGGCCTGAAGCTGACCTCACCAATCCAGGTCGCCATAGGAGCGAACCTGAGCAAACCGCGAAGCCAGAGAGGTCTGAGAACACATGTTAAGATAAGGGTTCGAAGAAAGTTGAGCACCTGATTGATTCGAGTTTGTAAACTCAGATGACTATAAGATAACAACTGATAACAATTAGACATTCATTCATAGTCCTGATACAGTTCCTGATACCTTGTTCAGGTTAGCACCCTTTAGTTAGCCGCTAGTTGAGTTTCGATCGGAGGAGTGCTTTTAAGCTGGTGAACCAGCAAGCCACTTCCACCTACAACGCTGTGCCTGCGCAGGCTTCGGGTTTTGTCAACTTTTATCCGTGCATGGGGATTTGTTGAGCAAAGATTGACCAAAAGAATCAGAAACCCGCAAGTCCAGCATGCTTTTGTTTGGAGGACATTATTGCAAGTAGAAGTGAGTGTTTTCAGCAGGGGAAATAAGCCTGAGTTGACCCTACAAACGCGGCCTCTCCTTGATGGCCTTATTTAAGGTTCATTTAAAAGAACTTATATATCTTAAGTTAAACTAATGCATTTCCTGTCTCAACGATCGAAAACGATCACCTAAGGGCACGCTTTTCTTCGGAATGCCTCGGTCGTTCGGTGTTGTCACCGTCAAGTGTCCAACAGACTCCCCCCAGATTTCTGGCGATCTTGAAAGGGCCAAAACGTGCCGTGGCTCAAGGCATTTTGCGATGGCACTGAGCTTTGGCCTTGAAATACTCAGCACGCATCTTCTCCGAACTCCAGTTCTTCCCGGCATTCTCGTGTTGAAATCTGGTCCAGGGGTTGGATGGATGCTGATCTTGAGACTCAGCTTTTGATGCCGCCCTTGACGATGCGGCGCTCGATGCTGCGGCTTCCGAAGGCATGTGGCTCACCTGCTCCATGAGCTGTGATGCCCTTTCCGCGCTTCTGGCTGCGCCATGCTGCACCTGCAAGCCCGACCGTCTCCGGGTAGGGTTGGACGTAGAGCTCGTTTTTGACATAGCTCCCTCCTCCTCTTCACTGGCCATCTCCGTCGTGGTTGGGCTGTCTTCTCCGGGCACCTCAAATGCTCTCCCTTTTCTTCCGCTTCTTCTCAACCGCGATGTCCTCATCGGGTCATCTCTTTCTTCTTCCTCCTCCTCATCTTCGCAAGGTGGCCGCGGCAACCTGATGACACCATGCAATCTCTTGAGACAGCAGCCTATGGAACTCCGAGTGATTCCTCCTCCAGCGAAGCCTTTGCACCTTGGGAGGGCCCGTCACTTGGTGTCCTTTCATGGTCACTCGGTGTCCTCTCAGGCGTCTCAATCGTCCAGCTATCGCTGCTGATGTCTTGGCGGAACAACTCGGGGTCGTTGGGTGCATGGACATCAAAAAGATCACGGTGATCACAGAGCCAATGTTGAACTCGAGCGCTGGTCTTCCCCTCCATGTACAACATGGACAACCGCGGAATTGCTGTTTTGCCCCGAAGGCGACGTTTGGGGACGCTGCCTTCCCATTGAGGAACTCCTGGAGGGCGATCTAGCTCCGGAAGGTAGGCACAGACCTCCTCGGCCTCAGGTTGGTGAGCCATCGGGACCACAACATCATCGGTATAGAAAAACCGTTTGGTTTCGACCGACTGCACATAGTAGCTTGTGCTTGTCAACGAGGAGTGAATTGCCGGCCCCAAAACAAGCATCTCATCTCTGATCTCCCGCCAAGGTTGATAGCGGTCCTGCCAGGATTTCTTCAGCGCGAAAGCTCCGGAACCAAATTGAAGCATGGGGCCCACCGGCAATCCAAGGCTTCGAAGCTGGCCTCGGAGACGGCGTTCGCCGATGTGAATTGCAGCCAACGGCCAGTATTCCAGCCCCAAACCTGTTGTTGCCACCACCGTCCTGACATGCTTCTTGATGACCCCAAGTTCACCTTCAACTCTGCCGTTGGCTTTGAACGGGTCACCAGATGTCAAAGTGGTGACAATCCCTCTGTCAAGGGTCCAGCGGCGAATGGGTGCTGAAATCAATTTCCCGAGCTCTGTCACAATGGATGCGGTACAGAGGCAGGCCCGAGGATCGAATCCTCGCGTAGATGCGAGCCAGAGCAGCCAAAATGTTGTTCACGGCCCGTCCTGGAAGTACTTCCACAAAGGTGACATTGCGGACGGCAACATCCTGAGCTTCTTCTATCCGCTTTTGCCAGGCCTCCATTGCAGCACGGCCTTGTTTCACCTGCTGCTTCTGCTGCGCTTTGTCCTACCTCCCCCGGCAGGTGCACCATCCACCAAAAGATCCTCCCCCGGGTCGTCGCCCCCAGGTTCTGTAGGAGTGTACTCATCAACTTCGATGGAAGGTGGATCATCCTGGTGAGTTGATTCCTCCGCAAACTCAACCAATGAGCGTCCAGAGCGATCGACTGGGAAGGTGTACACAGCAATCATCATGTACCTGCAGTCATGTCTGTTCTGGTCTTGGCCAATCACCATTTTTCCGGACAGGTCGATGCTCAGCGTGTAGGCCTCAGGATGCGTGATCTTGCGATGTGGCTTGCTGCGCGCAGAAGCGCGAACACAATCACGGCAATCTCTTCTTGCTGGCATATGGTCGTTGAGGTAGTGTTGACGCCAGCTCTCAAGTACCACATGTCCAACAGGACGGAGTGCAACCTCCAAAGAAGGGGTAGCCTGACGGTTGAGGTGATCTTGTACAGCTAACACCAACGCAACTTTCAGGCCCGGTGCCCATGCTGCCCAGCCTTTGGAGTCTTCACAGCGCTCCCTCAGTGTCATGTTGGCTCGATCTTGGCCTTGGGGATCAGGAGGATCTCCACTTGGTGAATGTCACGCAGCACCACAGCCATTGATGTTGGCTTCTTCTTGATATGGCCCATTGGCCCTTGATCAAAATGGATCATCCGGACCTTGAAGTGCTCTGCAAACGATTGCCATTCCTTGGTGCGCCACACCGACATGAATTTCTTGACCTTCACTTCTTCGGCCGGTCGATACCGTGCAGGATCTTCGGGCTGCTCAATTGCCAAAGCGGTCTGCGGCTCATCCGGCAAGCGAACATCCTCGCGCAACATGTACAAGGCCAACATGCGGAACCAGATTACACTATCACCAGTGACCAGATTCTGTTCAGCGGCCGTCAAGGTTGGAACCTATAGGGATACTCTTCAGTTCGAAAAACTCCGGGACCGCCATCATCTTGATACCTCAGGGCCGAAACAGTGCGGCAAGGTGGACCAGCTAGCAATGCTTTGATTCGGCCCGATGCAGCCAGGGAGAGCAGGAAGCGGAAGACTGTGATCATGCAAATCCGCAGGGACATAGCCGCTAAGATCAACACACAAGACTTCCGTGCCGCTGCCAGCAAGTTTCTTCTCCCAAAAACGGTAGTCTGGCCCTGAGAACAAATGGATGACGATGCCGTGTCGATTCCATGGGATGCGATGCCCTTCATTGCCCTTGAGCGAAGACAGGTCCGGGACGACCTTCATCAAAACATCGTCCGGAAGATCCGGAAACATCATCTTCAACTTCAGGGTGAGGGCCATTTCAGTGGACTTCTTCACCGCCTCCAAGATTCTGCTGATGGATCCAGCAGCATTGACTTGAGCAGCAATGCCTTTCGCACCAGTCGAACCTGTTGGTGTTCGAGGCGAGCAATCATCTCCTGTCCCAGCTTGCGGGTGACCATCGGGCAGCCATGCTGGATGCAAACAGTCAAATCTTGACCCTGCTCATCGCGCAAGGAACGTTGAGCGCCCTTCCACTCGAACCTATAGCCCAGCTCCATGATGCCTCCCAGTGGAATGATCCAGGATTGGCTCATAGTGTCATCAGCCGGGTCCGACAACAAGATCTTGGAGTTCACCTTCAAGCGAAGTTTTGTGGTGACCCCATCAGCCAGTGTGACCTGCGTAGGTTGCGCCGCAGCCCATTCGCCTTCAGTCAAAGCCGGCCTCAAAGCGTGGGTTGCGCCAGAGTCCAAAAGCACCATCATGCCTTCAGCATCCACCTCCAACTGGCTGATTTTGATCATCTTCAGCTGCGGCGCTCTCAGTGATTTGAGAAGCTTCGTGGCTTCCTGGAGCAAAGCCTCACTAGTCGTAGATGTTGTGCCCGTTGGCTGATTTCTTGGATCTTGGGGGCCACAGAATTGCTACCACCTGCATTCGATGAGGTAGAAGGCGATGCTTTCGAAGAAGACTTTCCTCCCCCTGAGCCGCCCGGCTCACCATGGGATTTGCGGTCCTTTGACAAACCAGGTTTGCCTTGTCCTTGAGCTTTGAGCTTGCAATCAGTCTTGCGATGGTCCTTGCCGCCGCAGATCCAACAGCGAGCTGCCTTGTCTTCTATGCCGTCCCAGGAGTGCGACCATTTACAATTGCGGCCCGCATTGCACCCCGTCTCGGAGCGAAAGTACTTGCAGGGAGTGGATGCCAGAGATTCCTTGTCCACTGCACTGCCAGTGGCATTGGGTGGCTTGCCATGCGCATCCATTTGTTTCACCTTCACTGGTGTTGAGGTTGTAGTCGATGGAGTCGAAGCCATGAGGCACAATGTTTCTGCTTCCGCCAGCAGACATTGGCTGAAGCGCCAAACACCATCATGCAAGGGCTGTTGGTCAATCCACAACTGTAATCTGCTCTGGGCCAAACGAAAGGCAGCTTGAGCATCCAAGGCTCCAATCTGAGCAATGGCCGGTTCAAGGGCCTTCAACAACAAAGTCCCGTCCTGGAGGATCGTCCCGATCTCCTGAGCCGGGGCATATAGTGTCGCCACCAAGACCTCAAAGCCGCTGCCAGTTCAGGAGTACCTGAGCTCTTGTCCAGCGATGTCAGCTTGGCCAACAGGATTGACTTTTCCCCGGAACCACCAACCTGGTACCTGGCTGTGACCAAAGCTTGCTGCTGATCTGCTGGGATGGCCTTCAACAAGAGATTCACACCACGCTGCTCGGTCCGCTGGTAGCATTGGTCCAGCAACTCATCAGGCAGCTTGGGAACAATTTGAACTCGTTCCAGTGGCGAAGATGTTTTCCATCTCTCATAGTAGCACTGGGCTTCTCTTGTGGTCAAATTCCACCACCGGGAGGACACGGATGAGATGTCCCTCAAAACTGGACCACAGACAGCTAGCCAATCTCCCAGTTCAAGAGGGGATGCATCCGCTGCAAGTTCAACCAGCTCTTTACTCCCTCCACCAGCGCCCTCATTCCAAGGCAGCGGAGCAGGTGCGGGTGAATGCGGTGTCTCACCCCGCCATCGACCATAGGGCACTTCACTGCCCCGCATCACCGACGCCGGACCCAGCTCTCCATCAGGCAGCCAGGAACCGGAAAAAGGGTGTCCACATGGTTTGGGTCATGAAGTTCGGGGTGGTGCTACGTATGCCCACCTCCTGGAACATTCCCTTGAGGTCCACATGCTACCCCCCCGTAGGTCATGACCCTGAAGTAGATCCGAACGAGGGCCATTCGAAAAACTATTCCGTTCTCCATGCCCCCGAAGATCCTGCGTGCGAGCCACCGACTCTTTGAGCTCAGCCAGTTCACGCTCCATCCGAGCGGCAGGATCTCAACCATCATGAGGGACAAAGGCTTTCCCTTCTCGCATGCTCGCCGGAACCCATTGCGTGTCGCCGAGCCGACGACGGAACTCCACAAAATCATAACCTTGAAACATACTTGAATCCGCCAAGGTGCTTTGCGAGAACGGTGGCGGAGGAAGCTCTGGCAAATCCTGTGGTGGAGAACCAGGAGAAACTTGAGTGCCATTGGGTGTGCACCTGAAGCCATTGGTTGTCTTTCTTGCCGTAGGGCTTCTCCCCCGAGCAGTTGTGGCGCTTCACCCTGGCGGATGCCCAGCCCATGCGCCGTAGTTTCACGGCCCTGAGTGCCCGGTTGTTCGGCATCCTTTTCAAATCCCTCCACCTGCTCCCAAGAAGACGGAGCAGAGGATGGAACCTGACCACCCCGTTGGAGTTGCTGCTTCAGCTTCTTGATTTCTTCAAACAACATCTCATTTTGATCCCCCCAAAACTGCACCATTTCCACCTCCATTGCTCTTTGGAGGCTGTCCTTTTCTTCTCGACTTTGGGGATCTTTGGGAGGTTGTTCACCATTCGGAGGCATGGGGCAGGTTGCTTCCCCTTCACCTTCCTCGACCCCAGCGGACCATCACTCTCCGGTGGCATCACACCATCAGATCTTCGTCCCATCGAATGGCTGGGTGGAGTAACAAACATGCGACCGCCCTGAGTTCGGCCACCCTGAGACCCTCCAGACGCTACACCGCGTCCTTTTCCAGAGCCGCCCATGCTTTGATCCCGCGTGCACAGGCTCAGTCTCACCCTCAAGCTCGAACTCGTCCTCGTTATTCGTTGGGGCCGGCAAGTCCGTAGGCCTTTGCCGCTGGAGTTCAACCTCAGCCTGCAGTCTGGCGAGGCATCGAGTGTGCCCTGTCAATGGCCCCTACACAGCACGAACGCTTGGGCTCATAACCCTCAACGATCGAAAACGATCACCTAAGGGCACGCTTTTCTTCGGACAAAAAATGCCTCGGTCGTTCGGTGTTGTCACCGTCAAGTGTCCAACAGACCTGTAATTGGATTCAAACCTTTGATGTATAATGGTTAGAGTCTCTTGCAGATCTTGCAGAACTTCATTTGATTTTGTTCTTCATAAGTCAGGGGGAGCAAGCCGTTTGATATCAGGGGGGACTGACATGAAGCAAAAACTCAGGAATAAATTCACGTTTCACTTGTTTTAATTGTCTATTTTTTAATTACAGTAAGTAGGCGCCTACTCAAGTAAGTAAGGAGGTCAGTTACTAGCAAACTTTCAAATCTGTGTTGTCAGGGTGTTCCAAGGCTCCAGGCCTCTTCAGCATCATACAAATAGCTGGAAGCTACTAGTAACTGGACAGGATATCTCGCTCCTTCAAGGAAGCACTCGCAGCAATGATTTGGTTCCTAGATTGTTAGGGAAACTTAGCGTAGGAGCAAGAAGCTTCTAGGGGCTCTGAGCATCGCTACTAGGAGCAAGGACGCTACTAGGGCACTAGGGGCTCCTGGCCTTACTACTAGGAGATACTAGGAGCAAGAAGCTACTACTAATGATAAGGCAAAGCAAAATGGCCATACCATGCCATACCATAGTGGCACGCGAGCTTAGGTGGCCAACTGACCGAAGTCGTCAAAGACAAACGAGAAAGTGAACCATTGAAAAGTAATTCCATGTCATGTCAATCTATAATCCCGAGTTCCTATTAATAAACACTCCCCAATTAAAAAAACACCACGTCCGAACCCCTAAATTCGGTTTATATTTGGTGTTAAATTGCCGCCCTTGCAAACCGCTACTAAACTACCAACATGGTCGATTTTGGGGGTAGTTTTTTTAATTAGGTTCCCCAAAACTCCACCATGACACGCCGCGCTTACACCAGCAGGCTTTCCTTCCCTCAATGGCACGGACTCACGCAAACGCACTTGCCGCCGAGGTCATGCAACACCGCATGGCACAGCGACATCACCTTTCGAAAGCTTTAGCTGTTAGTCTACTGAAGAATCACTATTCTAATGAAGGTTTTTGTAGGGGAAAAGGAAGACCCTTCGATCTGGCGGTTTTTTGCATTTTTGATACGAGTTTAATAAAGGATTTTATATAAAATTTTCCTGGATTACTTTTTGGTTTTGAAACTCTTTCCAGGTGACCCTATTTTGGACACCCCGATTTCAGGGACCCCCTATTAGAAAAAATGCGACCGAGGTTTTTTTAATAGGGGGGGGGGGGCCGTGTTTATTAATAGGAGGATGGGATTATATAGGTGAAGTTTGGAATGGCCTAGTAATGTATACCAAAGGAAGTCACCCTCACAATCAAGATCAGCGCATGAAGATCACTTGACAACCTGGCACAGAATGCATGCAATCAAAGGCATTGTTCGTTCCTGTTGTTCGTTCCGATGCAACCGGAGGCTTTGGTCGAAATCTTCTTAGCACGTGACGGCGAGATTCACAAGCGGATCTTTGGTCCACGGTTGATCACACAGTTCCGTGGCAGGAAGTGGGGCAGGCTATGCTACAGGAAGTAAACTATCAAAGGTATTGTTTTTCATTTGCTTGTAGCTATTGTACAAGTACGGCTTTAAGTTGTTTTCAGCTACATTTCTGTATCGCTGTCCTGAATAGCACTAAATCTGCTCGCAGCCTTAAAGCAGCATTTGGTCAAGCATACAGGAGGACGAGGTGACGAGGTGCAGTTTGGAAGTGTTTGCTTTGTGGTGAAGCTGTTTGTCTCTTTCTTGTTTCTTCCCAAAAGATGAGACTGTATGACTGTATGCTTACACTACTGAGTAGAGCGTGGAATAGCGCATGTTGCTTTGACCTTTACACTTTAGATGCCGGGGTTGCCATCGTCTTGAGATTTCTCTCGAGCCAAGGTTTAAAGCAATGCGCGAGATCTTGCTGGCAAGTGATACCAATCGTGCCTTGGACTTGCTTTGTTTTGCAGCTTCCAGGCCAGCCACCTGTGCAGTTCACGAGGCAAACATATGCACACTATGTAAAATGCGTTTCATGTGAGCAGCTCCAGAACGCCGGGTTGCAGAGGCATTTTCAACTATGTACGTCTATATATATATATAACTGTATCTATATACATATATTATGCGTGTCCGATAGAGCCAGTTCTGTATGTTCTGTCAAAGCTTCCTTTCCGTGTCCGAAAGAAGGTTCGTGTAGAAGGCTGATGGTGTTCGTTGTTCGAAAGGCAATTGGGTCAACGAGGGGTGGACGGAAGAAAACAAAAGAGGCAAAGGGAAGGCCCAAGGAAGACGGGAATGCTGAAGGACTGCAATGCAAAGTTCCGCATTGCTTCTCGCCATCCCATTGTGGCAGCGTGTTCAGAATGTAACTCCCCTAATTACCTACTTTTTGTCCTTCAATGTTTATGCCAGAGCAAGAGTTGGGTGGAGTAGGGACAGCGAAAAGGAATGAAACGAGGACAGGAAAGAGTTGAGATACTGGAATGACAGACAGGCGACTTTATCATGTTTCACTTGTACATGCACGCGCCGCCTGAAGTATACATTAGAGAGTAGTGGTACACCGTTGGTTGTCCCCTCGGCCTGCATTCTGAAGAAGTTGGTGGTTCTGTGGTTACGCAGGCTTTACAGTAGCACATTTGACAAGCAAAGGTAGCACCGGTACGAACATACTCGTGTTGCATCGATGATATATGGTTCTGGTGGTTTGGGAAAGAAAGCCCACTGGATTGTTTCTGCACTTCCAAAATGTATCAGAGCCCATCAACATGTTGGAACCTTGTCCGAACTGAGGCCTTGTGGCAGAGCTGACTTTTGTGACCTGGTTTTGTTGAACCGTTATATGTGTCTCTTAGGGAGTCCACGACCAGGAAGATTTTGTGTTTAGATTCTTTCAAATCCAAGGTGAGGATCAACGACCTGGCTGCTCCCCCGGAGCCTACGCACCCACTCATGCGACCCAGAAGGAATTGGGGCGCACCGAGGGCCCAAAAGGCCCACAGGGGCCCACAGGGCCCTTAATTTGATGCGTTTGAACAGGATGATATGCCCTGAGATTATAGTTCTTCATGCGTCCTTGCTCCTAGTAGCGATGCCAGGAGCCCCTAATTGCGAACCTTGTTACTAGTAGAAAATAGTTTTTCAGGTCTGTTGACTTAAATTGTGTCGGATCTATTCAGGTACATCGAGCCTGTTGTCGCCATCCTCATCCTGGCAAATGGCGTCCTGATCGGGTTCCAGACAGACAAGAACTTTGAGAATTGGAATGGGTTCTTCTACATTGAACTGGAACCTTGTCCAAAAACTTTGAAGCCAACTGGTGTTCGATTTAACACTCACGCATGCTGAAGGGATCTAAAGGGAACATGACACGTCGTGGTCAGGAAGGACATACCTTTCGGGTTGAGGTGCTGGTCATGGGTCATAGGTCTAGTCCGAATCAGATGTGCCGCTGATTTGCTAGCGCCTAAATGAAGTTTCCAGGAGGTCTTGTTCAAAGTGGATTGATCCACCCAACGCAAAATTGAAAAGCACTGAGAAGCAGAAGTCCAAGTTTGCTATGCAAGTAGTGCCTCCAAAGATAGGACACCTTATTCTGAAGTCCACAAGGCTCTGCCAGTGCAACACTGGAGGTCAGTGGCAAATTGTTATAGCTTGATACAATTTTTGAGTGTGCAAGGGCACCAATCGTTTATTGCCAGGCATTATTTGTCTTTTTGCTCTTGGAGATCTTTTTGCGCATGCACTTGCTGTGTCTTGGCACGATGAGAACACAAGTTCTCAGGTCGATGAGAACAATACCTGGTTGACTCGATGCTGTTCCTCAAGGTGTACAAGCCACGGTTCCAAGATGGGTCATGGTTGGGACATCACCCTGAGCATCCGATATTGATTCCAATCAATAGTTTCCTATGAAAAA